TCTCTAACCTTCGGGACGTCGCACGGCGGTCTCTAACCTTCGGGACGTCGCACGGCGGTCTCTAACCTTCGGGACGTCGCACGGCGGTCTCTAACCTTCGGGACGACGCGCTGCGGTCTCTAACCTTCGGGACGTCGCACGGCGGTCTCTAACCTTCGGGCCGACGCGCGGCGGTCTAACCCTTGGGCCGACGCGCGGCGGTCTCTAACCTTCGGGACGACGCACGGCGGTCTCTAACCTTCGGGATGACGCACGGCGGTCTCTAACCTTCGGGACGACGCACGGCAGTCTCTAACCTTCGGGACGACGCACGGCGGTCTCTAACCTTCGGGAGTTGCACGGCGGTCTCTAACCCTCGGGACGACGCACGGCGGTCTCTAACCCTCGGGACGACGCACGGCGGTCTCTAACCCTCGGGACGATGCACAGCGGTCTCTAACCTTCGGGGCGACGTCCCGGGTCGCATGGCGGTCTCTAACCTTCAGGACGACGCACGGCGGTCTCTAACCTCTTAATATTTGACATTTCAGCAGCTCTTTACCTCCCAGCTCTGCACTGAAGACACGAAGCCTGGACGACCAGCTGCTGCCACACCGAACTTCAGCTCAGGGTCGTCCAGATTAACTCCATTAAAGTTGTTTGTGTTTTATCACGTTTAGTAGAAGTGGCAGCCATCTTGAATCTGGCTGCGATGTTCATCCCATGAGCAGTTTCCGAGTTTTAATCAAATGCATTCTCTTAGTTCCTTAATTATTTTGCTAACACAAGTAGTTCCATTATTGCCCATCTTTTATGGCAGCAAGATTTATTAATAAGATGATTTGATTGGCTGATGGGATGAACCTGTATAAAAGGTTGAATGAATTTATTTACCAAATAAATAATTACTGTGGCAGAAACAGAAGTTTAGCTTAATTTATACTGAAATTTTTAAAAACATTACAAAAAAAAAGTTGCTAAAAGTTTTGACAATAAAATGAGTATTTACTTTGCAGCTCTGATTCATGTATTTTTTATATATTTAATTAAATATAAAGACTTTGCAGTAAAAACGTGTTACCTTGAAACAAAATGTGGAACAAAAATAACAAATTTGTTCTAACATTTGTTTTATTTATAAATGTTGCACAAATAAAACCATATTTAATCATACAGTTTATTAGTTTTGATTTCACACTGATTCACTCAGAGGTATTTACATGTTTATTATCAGTTAATTTCCTGATATCGTCCTGTTGATAAAAACGATGACCTCACTGAGAACGCCTCGTTTCTGAGCTGGGATGTAAAGAGATTATTTATCATTTCTGTTGTTTGCACGACTGAACAAACCAGTGCAGTCAGAATACGTTTTTAACTTTTAGGGATTAGGATGGAGCGGCACGGTGGCTCAGGAGGTAGAGCTGCTGCCTCTCAACGAGCAGGTCGCAGTTCAAATCCTGGTCCGGGGTTCTTTCTGGATGGAGTTTGCATGTTTTCTCCTGGTACTCCAGTTTCCTCCCACAGACCAAAAACATGCATGTTAGGCTGATTGTTTGTCTTCATGTGTCCCTGTGATGGACTGGAGACCTGTCCAGGGTGTCCCCTGCCTCTCACACAGTGACTGCTGGATATCGGCACCAGTGACCCCCGTGACCCGAAAAGGAAGAAGCGTGTAAAGACGATGGATGGAACTATGGAATAAGTTTGTTTTGTTAACCTGCCGTGCAGACAGCATGTCGTCAGCTTTTAGCTCGTTTAAAAAATGAAACAGTTTTTGTTTTGGCACGTTTCCTGACAGCTCTGCTGCGTCTGTCTGGTTTCAGCGCTTTAGATCCAGATGTTTTCTGAAGTCTCACATTTTGGCATCTCGTCTTTAGTCTGAATCAACTTGAAGCGCGTGGAGGCAGTCCTGTCTGCAGGTCAAGTCGAGGCCGGGGACTCAGAAAAGTCCATCGGGATCGGTTCCGGCCTGTAGACCGATCGTGCCTCGGTGCACAGCGTCAGTCCAGGGGTGAACACGTGAGCGCTGCAGCTCAGCTCGAGTAAAGCTTCAGTGTGAAATGAGCGTGAAGAACATCCTCTGCCTGCATGAAGGATTATGTTACAGATGGCGTGCTGATGTTTGGGTCTTGTTTTGTTCTTATGGCGGTTTGGCAGACAGGTAGGAGATGAGCGCTGCGACGGCGCCAACGTAGGTGATGATGCCGAACACGATGGAGAGCACAGAGAGCCACAGGGCCTGGCGAGAGGCCACGCTGGCCCCCTGAACGTCCCCCTGAGCCGACGCCTTGTTGGTCTGAAAAACAAAAAGCACAAAGACGAGGATTAGCGGCGCCAAAAACAGAGAAGTCATCGCTTTCCCCTCCTCTCAGTCCGATCACTAATCCCACATGATGTTCATGTCTGAATCACAAACGTCCTGCGGGATTCAGCACGTTTTCCTCCTTTCATTCGAAGTCCGTCTTTATTCTCAGGAGGGGAAATCATTCATGGGAACTAACCTGTATAAATAAAGGTCTAATAATAATAATAATAATAATTCAACACGAAGGTCCTTTTTAACGTCGCTAATTAAACATGAAGGCTGGGATCCAGTCAACAGCTGAAATTAAGTTATGCTCAGAAATGATGGCGTTTGGGTAAAAACTGGATGAAGTTACGAAACATCTCTGAGTGTTACGATACGACTCTCAGCTACTACCACACCAAGTTTTGGCTCAATATCTGTAGAAACAACTGACGTTTCCTTTTTACTAAAGTTGCTCGGTTTAAAATGAAAAAAGTCTCGTACGACTTTATTCTCATAATTTTATGGCTTTTATTTTTTTTCCCCCTTAGCATGGCAATGTAAAAAATTTTTTTGCGTGGCCCTAAAGCTCCATCGTAGTGGCGGGCATCATGAATCCGGTTAACTCCTATAAATCAGTTGTAGAGAAACATCTAATGAGAGCCGTTAAACATTTTTTTCCAGTGGTTCATAAATGGTTCATGAGATATGGAGGACGGAATGTGACAAAATGAAATAAATAAATACGTAATACAAACATAACAATTAAATGTATCATTAAATTATTAAGTACATCATTAAATACACAATTAAATACACCATTAAATAATTAAATGTACCTTTCAAATTATTTATTTCATGATTTATTTATTTATTTAATTTTGTCACCTTCCGTCCTCCAGTGACATCATGAAACTCAGTGGGCGGGACTAGAGCGGATACCTGTCTGGGCTCGTGAACAGACCCTGACGCCTGATTGGCTGCTCCTCACAACAAGCGAAGACAAATCAGCCATCGGTCAGGGTTGTCCTATCTCCCCAAAATTGTTTATCTTGACTACTCAGTTACTAGCCCTGCAAATTAATAGCAAGCCTGAGTTAAAGGGAATTAACGTTTTTGATAGAGAATACAAGATTAGTCAATTTGCAGATGACACAGCATTGTTTTTAAAGCCCAGTGTAATGTTGATAAAGCTTTGTTTCTCTGACTTTGCAGTAAGGTCATCATGAAGACCAAGGAACTTCCTACACAGGAAGCTGTGGAGAAGAACAGATGGGGGGGGGTCTGGTTTTAAATGGTGCTGTGGTCCCAAGAGACTGAGGAGGAAGGTCCTGGTCCAAAAAGTGCTGACAACACCACCCCTGCAGTGAAGCACGGTAGTGGCAGCACCATGCTGTGGGCGTGTTTTCTATTAGCAGAAACTAACCGGTCAGAGTTAAACAGATGGAGTAAAGAACAAAGAAATCAAACTCTGAGCTTCTCCTTCGGCTGACATGTCAAGTTTTCAGCTGACAGCTCACGTAACTGGAGCTAAAGCCCCATTTCCTGTCGGTCCAGCGGTGTCATCGTTGACGTAAATAAATAAATTTAAATATTTAGAAACAAAGCGCCGACAGATTCAGCTGCGGGTCAAATGAAAACCGGTGCAGACGGTAAGATGGTGTTGTCTCAGCTCCAGGTGGGGTTACCTTCTGAGACAGGTAGAAGGCGGCGATGCCCAGAGGCCAGAAGCAGCAGAGCATGGAGAAGAAGGCCAGACCCAGGTGGTCCTGGGGGGTCATCAGAGGAAAGCTGCTCTCACTGTCCACGTCGCTGAAGTCCTCCATGGACGAGTCCTGCGAGTCAAACACAGGACTGTCAGCAAAATGTCTTTTATTTACCTTTTTTATTTATAGCTACCATTTAACTACTGTTAGCCAACATTTTTTTTTGTTTTAGCTATGGTTCAGCTATTTTTAGCTAGCATTTTGCTACTTATAACTGTTAGCCACTGTTTTGTTCAGTTTAGCTTTTAACCAGAATTTTGCAACTATTAGCTATGATTCTGCTACTGTTAGCTTGTAGCTAGCCTTTGGTTATTTTTAGCTTTCAGCTAGCCATTTGCTTCATTTAGATAACCCTTTGCCGCTCTTGTGTTTTATTTACACTTTTAGCTTTTAGCTAGCACTTTGCAACACTTTGCTTACTTGTTAGCTCTTCCAGCTCAGTTTCAGCAGGTTCTGCTGTTTTCCTTTTGCTCCGTCCACACAGGCAGCAGGTTTAATTTAAAAAACAGCTGAAATTCATATTTACACAGAATTATGAGGACCCAGCTATTTATAAAGGATCCAGTGGTATCAAAGAGTTTTAGCTGTCTTTAGCTCGTTATTCTTTGGTTCTCCAAACACTTCAGTAACTCTGTTGGGTCGGTTGGTCTCTTCGGGTCCGAACCAAAATCATAGGCTCTGTTGCGGGTCTGCACTCAATGTAAACAAAGCTGTCAGCTGAACCAGAGCTTGAGTCATGTGACTGGTAAACAATATGGCCGCCAAGTTCAACTTTTTATCTTTCCCTTCGGCTGTTTTTGTGGGTAAACAAACATGGCAGCTGAACACATTAAGCACAGATATGAGATTATTACTGCACGGGTTTTCTTCTTTAGTTTGTATAAATTTATGTTTTGGTTTGGTGTTCCTAACTTTAAAATGAGAAGCTTTAATTATGAATTACGTTGATCTGATTCTTATTTTTAATCTCCTAACGGGACATTTGGTATTTGTTGTAAAGTTTGAGTTTGTTGTTTTGTTTTCAACGACTGATTTAGAAACTGCTGCTCCAAATTAAAACACCAAATCTTTAAATTTGTGAAAAACCTCAACAAGCTTTAAAACTATAAAATAAAACAACGATATAAAACTGACTCTATGATGGACGGTGAAAAACACAACAATCACTTTCATTTATTATTCATTTATTTCAACGATATTTTTTCTTCATTTAGCCTTTATTTATCCAGGTTAGTCATGAAAACGTTCGGCTCATTCGGGAACTTCCTGCTGAGACTGTGCAGTTTGTACTTTTTGAAATATTTAGCTTTGTCGGCCATGTTTTTCTCATTGAGAATGAACGGAGCTCTTCACCTCCTTTTAAACCTTTTACTGCTCATTTCAGCTTTTCTTCTGGTTCGGCTCTTTTCTTCAGCTTCTCTGTGCTAATTTCAGCTTGGTTCAGCTCCTTTCTGCTCTTTTCAGCTTTTTTTGTCATTTTTTCAGCTACTTTTTAAACTTTTTCTATTAATTTATTAATTCATTTATTTTCTAATTTCCATCTTTTATGATTCTTTAACATAATTCCAACTTTTTATGCTCCTTTGAGCTTATTTTTGCTAATTTCAGCTTTATTTTTTTATCCTTTTCGCTACTTTTCAGCTCATTCCAGTTTTTTATTTTTGCTCATTTCAGAGTTTTTGTAATCTGCTCAGCCTCTCTCTGTCTATTTCAGCTTATTTAGCTGTTTTCTGGTACATTTCAGCTCTGATCAGCTTTTTCTACATATTTTGGCTGTTTTTCTGCTGCTTTTATTTTGAAAATGTCAGCTGTATAAATTCTACTCACATTTAGAAAATGTTTCAGCTGATTTTTGTATTGAACGCTTTTTGAATTTCAGCTGATTTCAGTTAAAATCATTCAGCAAAGGTAACGAGGACCCATTACACGTTTTTATTTTAAAGTTTTCACGTCAGAATATTGTTGACGTGAACCTGAACCGTGAGATTATGAATGCTCCGTTACAATTAATGCAAAAAACACAATTTTGCGTCATAAATTGTGTGACAGGCCTCGCATGTTCGTGTAAATATAAATATAAATTAATTGTTGTGTTGACTGTATTTGAGTTTCCTTCAGCGTCGACTGACAACATTTTATTTCCTTTAACTGTGAAAATGTTTTAAAAAGTTAGCTCTCTGGAGTTTATATTTATTTTCGCATTAAAGGAAAATGGAGGAATTAATAGAATTAAATAAACTTAGAAGTTCTAGGAAAAAGTATTTTTTACATTATTTTAGGAGTTTTTTTTAAACGTTCCTAAATTCAAGACAGAAACTGATGAATAAAAAACATTTTCCACCTCTTTCTGTTCTGTTCAAAGTTCTTTCGTTTTCTTTGAAGGACAAGCGGCACCCCGATGTCCCCCGTCTCTGAGGGACCTGAACAGTGAGTGTTTTTACGATGAGTGTTTTTCTCGACAGGAACTGAACAGAGAATGAAGTAAACCTAAATGTTTTTGGTGAAAGATTCAAGTGGAGGAGTTGTTGAGGAGAACAGAGGCAGTTTTTTTGTTTGTTTGTCCAAAGTGGAGCAGAGAGACGGATGAGTGGAGGGAGCAGTTTTATCCACCACCAGGTGTAGTGGAGGAGCCAGGGGGTGGCCAAAGGTGGCCTTCGCCCTCCATAGATTAATCTTGGGCCACCCCAGTCATTTCAGGAAATTATACTTTTAAAAAGCATAGTTTGCGCAACTGATTGGGGTGATCACATATATACTGTATATATATAAATATATATCAAATGTGGTGTCGGCCATCTTGGATTTTGACTCGGCTACTGTATTTTTGATAGTGCCCTTTCTCACACCCAGATGCAGCCACACACTGAAATGGAAGTCGGCACGTTGCTTATTTTTCATTAATTATCCAGCTCCAAGAAGGTTGGATGGATGGAGGCTTTGATCCGAGACAGAGAACCAAACAAGGAAGTTCCTTCAACTTCTACATGTCTCGTCACATCTAAATGTCCTCCAGAGAGGACAGAGGGAGACAGACCAGTTATATGAAGGCTGTGGGACATATGTCCACCACAGAGGACAAATTAGAGCTGGGGACGTTAGGACATTTTGTAAACAGCTAAATATATTCTGTTGGTGTGTTTTTATTTTTACACTTCAAATAAACAGATTACTTTGAAATAAAATAAAGTTTTGGATTGAGTAAAGTTTCCACTTTCAAAAACAAACTTCCCTGTTGTTAAGAACGGACGTGTTGGAGACGGAGCCGAGTCGTTTCACTCATGGAAAACAAACAAACAAACAAACAAACAAACAAACAAACAGGATGAGGCGTTGGGCCTCGTTTGGATCACTTTAAGATTTAAACTGCAGCTTCAACCCTCGTCTCCTCTGCTGTCCCTCTGTCCCCTGGAGGAGACATCCGGTCCAGTGCTGGTTCTGTTGGGTTTCTGTGGTCTCCCATCAGAACAGCCTTCAGAGGAATCAGCAGAACGACTCGCTCACACTCAGAGAGCATGAAGTTTGCCCTGAAGTTTCAGAGGAACCCAAAATATCAACTGCAGCGTCAGAACCTGCTCCTCAACAGGAAGGCTTCTTTTCAGAACCGGGCTTTTTGACAGAACCAACTGAACCTCAAAGCCTGTGCAGCTATTTTAGTTTTCTCTCTGACTGCCAGGATCTGTCCTGAAACACATAAAACTTCTTCTTTTGTAGAAAACCACAGAGAGGGGAACATAGATGCTGTAAAAGTAAGACGTCTCACTCTGTTTGTTTGTTAGAAACAACCTATTTTAAATTCAGCCAACTGGTTGACTTTTTACTAGTTTTAGACAGTTAAATTTATAGTTTCTGGTCCTTTATTTAACTTTTTTTAAGAAACTTCAGGAGTTTTGTATCATTGAAGTTTGTTAGTAATAAACTGATGTAGTTTCTAAAACTTTCCTTCACATGTTCAAGAGTTTTTTTTTTTTTTTAAGAAGCAGTTTGATTGGTCACATCCTCTGGTTTTACCAGGTTTGTTTAAAGTTTGAAATTTTATTTTACTGGACAAAAAAGTGTCCAAGAGCAGAAAACATTCAAACTTAAGATTATCTGTAAAATAATTTTTCATTTCCTGACTCCATGCAAAGCAGGCGATCATGTATTTGCACATGTCTGAGTGTTGAGTAATCTGTCTGTTAGCAAAATATATAAACCACTACAGAAACGCTCAGAAAGTAATCATTGTTTGTTCACTTGGATTCAAAATTCAAAATGGCCGTCACAGCTAATCGAGCCAAAAACCTCCGTCAGTTTTACAGATGTGAGCAAAAATTTGGTGTGGTAGTAGCTGAGAGTCATCCCCAACTGGTCAGGCGACATGCATTCCTTCAAGCGTTTCATTAAAACCCGTCCATGAGATATTTTGCTAACAGACACGGAGAGGAGCGGTTACATGATCGCCCGCCTTCCCTGGAGCTGAGCGTTCAGCTTGCAGGACTTCCCGCAGGACGTCTTACGTCAGAGTCAGGAAGCAGGTCGTCCTCATCGTCCATGGCGTAGCAGAAGTCCTGCGTCTCGGCCAGCAGCTTCCTCTCCAGGGTCGAGCCGGGCCTGATGTCCACGAAGGTGGTCTCCAGGTAGTCTTTGCTCAGCAGGGAGTCCGTCTGGGCCCAGATGGGGGCGCCTTGGTAAAAGGACTCCATTGTGTGAGGGAAGGAGCCCGGGTCCAACAGCTGCTGCTGCTGAAGCTCAGGAGGACGTCCACAGAAGCTCCTCCACGCCAACGGAGGGTAGGCCCGGTCCTCCTCGCACCGAACCAGGACCCCCTTAAACAGCCCCACCTGGGCCTGGCCTGGTCCGGTTCCCAGCCCTGGCCGGGAAACTCGGCTGGTGTTTTCCCTCAGAGGAGGGCGGTCCAAGTCGTTTGTCTTTTCCATGTGTCTTCAAACAGCCGAAGAGGTCACCAACAACCAAACGTAATCTACAGATCTGTTCAGACAGAGGCAGCTGCTTCAGTGTTTCTCTGATAATCCAGCTTTAATCCCATTCTCTCATTTTTCTCTTGCTGCAGAGTCGGGTCGGGACATCACCAATATTTATTTTCAGGTTTTATTGCTCTCTTTTTGTTCCACATTGCTCATTTCTCATGACTGAATGTGTCGGCGTCTGCTAACTTTAGCCACGTTAGCTCTCAGGTGAGACAACGAGGAGACCAACGAGATGATCGAGGAGCTTTTAGCCGAAGGTTACCCTCAAAAATAACTTTTCCCTTCAGCTGTTTGGAGTGGAAATGGGTAATGGTGACAATAATTACTAACAAAATTACTTTTTTGACTGAATGAAAAGTTTGAAAAGGAAAAATCTGCGGTCGAGAGACCAAAACTGGCCTCTCTGTGCCTCAGGGGGTAAATCCACCCCCTCCAGTGTTATTAAAGTACTGGTTCAGGGGCCAGTTTTCCTACGGCGCTCAGCAGCCTCCGTCCTCTTTGTTGCAGCAGAAAACGATAATGAGAAAGCCAGAGTCCTCCGGTGTTGATTTACAGCTGAGGTTCGGCTGCGGGGGTTGGCAGCGCTCCAACAGAACATTTAATTTGAATGCGCTCCATTTGCATTAAAGGTTTTCACTCAGGGCGGATGAGGCGTCGGCCCACGAGCAGGTCTGTGAAGAAACAACAAGATGAAGACAAATTATTTAGATTTGGCAGATAAATCTCTGATTATGTCACCTTTTGTTACTTTTCACTTTTAAGTTTTTCTATTTTAGCTTTTAGCTAACCCTTTGCTGCATTTCATGACAATTGTGCTACTTTTAGCTTTTAGCTATCTTCTCTTCAGTTAGCTTTGAGCTAGCTTTTAGTTACTTTTAGATTTTAGCTACCATTCTGCTACTTGTGGTAGGAAAGAGCAGAAAGGAATAAGGGTGATTTTTTTTTTCTAACTTTACTCAAACTTTTGTTAAAAGGGGCACAATTGTTTAATTAGCTTTTAGCTAGCCTTTTGCTACATGTTGCTTTTGTTTTTAATAGTTCAACTTTAAGTTATAGTGTTTGATACTTTTGGCTTTTAGGCGCTACATGTAGCTTTTACCTAGCTTTGTCCAACTTAAAATTTTTAGCTAGCATTCTGCTACTTTTAGCATTTAGCTTGCCTTTTCCTAGATTTAGCTACCCCTTAATTGGCTACTCTTAACTTTAAAGATAGCCTTTAGCTAAGGCCTTTTCATATTAGGTTTCAGCTAGCCTTTTGCTACATTTAGCGACAATTTTACTATTTTTAGCTTTTAGCTCTTTGCTGTATTTAACTTTTAGCTAACTTTACTGCTATTTTTGCTACCATTCTGTCCCTGTTAGCTAGACTTTTGCAATCTTTTTAGATTTTTATTATTACATTTTCTAACTGTTTTGTTACATTTAGCTTTCATTTAGCCTTTTGTTGTTTTAACTAGCCTATAGCTACATTTAACCTTCAGCTGCTTGTTTGCTACTTTTAGCTAGCATTTTGCTACTTTTAGCTAACATTTTGCATGATTATGTTAATTTTCAGCTAATGTTTTGCTGCTTTTTCTTCCTTCATTAAAATCTACAGTTGAACACATCTTTGTGTTAAGGTCAGTTGGCTCTGGCGGCCATCTTGATTCAGGTTGACTCCAAAGGTTAATCAGTTGTAGATTATTAATTTTAGAGAATTTCTTAAAGTCTGTCCTGTGGTTCATGAGGTATTTTGCTGACAGATGGACAAACAAACACACAGACACACGCGCACGGCAGCAGTTACATGATCGCCCATGTTCCATTGACTCGGTCCACTGCTCAGCTCTGAAGAGGAGCAAGAGGGAGTGTGGTCTGATGCGGTTCTGGGCTCAGGCTCTGCTCGGCTGAGTGATGTCAGCCGTATGACACGATAACACATCTGGACGTAGGCTCCATCCTGCCCCTGCTCTCAGCCTCCGCAGCCTCATTCCAGGAGAGATGCACTCAGCTTTATTAGCACCCCCATCATAAAAACCCTCCTGTCAGATGGATTATAAACCCGCCTCCTTAAAGCTCATAAAACATCCAATCAGGTGGCGGGGCGCTCCCAAGGACGCCGCTGCAGATCATCGCTGACACTTTTCATCTCCTGCTGGAGTTTTCTGTCAGAGGCTCTGTAGCTTCAGTCCTTCTTTAATCTGACTCCTTCCCCTCTACATAATCCAGCCAATACAGAACTGAACCCGTGTCTATTTGCTGCCACTTGAAACAGATAACTTCTACGTCTCTACATCTACAACTGATAACATCTGGAGCCAACCTGATTTAAGATGGCCGCCACAGCTAATTGACCTTACAAAACACAAATCTTCTCTGTCGCTGTTACGGAGTCAGTCCAATTCAAGATGGCCACTGTGACTAATCAACACGAGCTAACACAGAAATGGTTAAAATTCACCGTTTCACTGATGTTGAACTACTAATTGGTGTGTTAGTAGCTGAGAGTCATAAACAACACACGTTGCATTTTGTCATGACATCACGTCTCTAACATGCAATGATCAGGCATGAAAGGCAGCAGAGGACATGAGCGCCTTCAAGAAAGCGTCTAGTTTTCTCCCAGCATGCGTGCTTGCTAACCATCCTGGAAGTAGTAGCTGGAATGCTTTGGCTGATACAGATCGAGCATTGGCCAGTTGGTCTACGTTCCCACCCTCACCTGCTGTCATGAACTCTGGGTAGAGACTGAAAGAACCTGATCCTGGATCCAGGAGGTCTGAATGGGTTTTCTCTGCAGGGTAGCTGAACTCTCCCTTAGAGACAGGGTGAGAAGTTCAATTATCAGGAGAGACTTTGAGTAGAACTGCTGCTCCTCCACATCCAGAGGAGACAGCTGAGCAGGTTCAGACATCTGGTCAGGATGGACCCTGGACGCCTCTATAGGGAGGTGTTCTGGACAGGTTCAAGGAAAAAAGACTGAGGAAGATCCAAAACACACTGGAGAGACTAAATGTCTCTCTGACTGTCTCAGCTGGTCTGGAAACACCTTGAAGTTCTCTTAGATTAGGTGGAAGAGGTGGCTGGACCCAAAACAAGTCATAACAAGACAAAGATCATTGGATGGATGGATGGATGGATTGATGGATTGATTATTGGATGGATGGATTGATGGATGCATGGATGGATGGGTGGATAGATAGATGGATGGATGGATGGTTGGATGGATGGATGGGTGGATGGATAGACAGATGGATGATGATGGATGGATGATGGATGATGTTTGAATGGACAGATGGATGGATGATGGTTGGATGATGTTTGGATCGATAGATGGATGGATGGACAGATGGATGGATGATGGTTGGATGATGTTTGGATGGATAGATGGATGGATGGACAGATGGATGAATGGATGATGGATGGATGATGGTTGGATGATGTTTGGATGGATAGATGGATGGATGGACAGATGGATGGATGGATGGATGTATGATGGATGGACAGAAGGATGATGGATGGATGGATGGATGGTTGGATGGACGGATGGGTGGATGGATAGACAGATGGATGATGATGGATGGATAATGGATGATGTTTGAATGGACAGATGGATGGATGATGGATGGATGATGGTTGGATGATGTTTGGATCGATAGATGGATGGATGGACAGATGGATGGATGGATGATGGATGGATGATGGTTGGATAGCCTGCAGG